TACTGAAATCCATATACACCACATCAACCGCTTTACCCTCATCCACCCTTACAAACGTAAGTATTTCACTCCCTTCTCTGGGGGCTATGTTAAAGAATAATTAAGAATATAATACCAGTGCTTGACACAATTAAAAATCTTGCTTTTATACTATCCGACTCCTTTGCCCTTCTGGGTACCTGTTACACAATAAACCAATAGAAAATTTGCTGATTGCAAGTGCCTAAGCAAATCTGATGTGGACAGTATTTTTGAACTGCTTCAGAACCAATCACCTTATTTCGTCACAGAAATTAGTTTATTTAACCAAATGAGGAAATATAGTCATTTTCGAACTGCTCTCAGTGACACTGCAATGAATATTTGGAATCTGTAGTGAAACTGGAAGAGTGCCTACACAAGAATCGAACCTACATAGTGGTCTTAAAGGAGTCATCTCAACTGATGTATTTTTCCAATGCTGGGTGACTGCCCAGTCCAGGAATTCTGTTCTTAAGGTAGTCATAGAACTGTACAGCACAGGAACAGATGCCTTGGTCCAACTCAACCATGTCGACCAGATATCCTAAATTAATCTAGTCTCATTTGTCAGCATTTGGCCCATATCCCTCTAAACTCCTCCTATTCATAAACATATCCAGATGCCATTTAAATGTTGCTATTATAACCAGCCTCCACCACTTCTGGCAGCTTGTTCCATACACGCACCACCCTCTGTGAAAAGGTTGCCCCTACATCCCTTTTAAATCTTTCCCCTCTTGCCTTAAATTTATGCCCTCTAGTTTTGCACTTCCCCAACCCAAGGAAAAGACCTGGCTTTTCACCCTAACCATGACCCTCATGATTTTATAAACCTCTATAAAGGTCAGCCCTCAACCTCCGACACTCCAGGGAAAATAGCTCCAGCCTGTTCAGCCTCTCCCTATAACTCAAACCTTCCAAACCTGGCAACATTATTATAAATCTTTTCTGAACACTTTCACGTTTCACAACATCCTACCTGTAGCAGGGAGACCAGAATTGCATAACCAGAGTTGCCTAACCAACATCCTGTACAGCCGCAACATGACCTCCTAACTACTATGCTCAATACACTAACCAATAAAGGCAAGCATAGCAAATGTCTTCTTCACTATCCTATCTACCTGCGACTCCACTTTCAAGGAACGATGAACCTGCACTCCAAGGTCTCTTTGTTCAGCAACACTCCCCATGATCTTACCATTAAGTGTATAGATCCTGGCCTGATTTGCTTTTCCAAAAAGCGGCACCACACATTTATCTAAATTAAACTCCATCTGCCACTGCTCAGCCCATTAGCCTGTCTGATCAACATCCTGTTGTACTCTGGGGTAACGTTCTTTGCTGTCCACTACACCTCCAATTTTACTCTCATGCAAACTTACGAACCAAATCTCCTATGTTCACATCCAAATCATTTATATAAACAGCAAAAAGCAGTGGGCCCAGCACCAATCTGTGGTATACTGCTAGTCACAGGTTTCCGGTCTGAAAAGGAACCCTCCACCACCACCCTCTGTCTTCTACTTTCAAGCCAGTTCTGTATCCAAATGGCTAGTTCTCTCTGCATTCCATGTGACCTAACCCTGCTAACCAGTCTACATGAAGAACCTTGTCAAATGCCTTACTGAAGTCCATACTGACCATGTTCACCGCTCTGCCTTCATCACTTCTTCAAAAACTCAATCAAGTTAGTGAGACATGATTTCCCACACACAAAGCCATGTGACTATCCCTAATCAGTCCTTCCAAATACATGTAAATCCTGTCCCTCAGGATTTCCTCCAACAACTTGCCCACCAATTTAAAGATCACCAGTCTATAGTTCCCTGGCTTTTCCTTACCACCTTCCTTAAATAGTGGCACCACGTTAGCCAACCTCCAGTCTTCCTGCACTTCACCTGTGCCTATCGATGATACAAATATCTCAGCAAGGGGCCCACCAATCACTTGGCTAGCTTCCCACAGAGTTCTAGAGGTTACACCTGATTAGGTCCTGGGGATTTATCCACCTTTATGTGTTTTAAGTTGTCCAGCACCACTTCCTCTGTAATATGGACATTTTTGAAGATGTTGCTGTTTATTTCCCCACGCTCTCTATCTTCCATATCTTTCTCCACAGCAAATACCGATGCAAAATATTCGTTTAGTATCTCCCCCAGGTCCTGCTGATCATTAAGGGGCCCTATTCTCTTCCCAGTTACCCTTTTGTCCCTAACATAAATGTAGAATCCCTCTGGATTCTACTTAACCCTATTCACCAAAGCTATCGCATGTCACCTTTTTGCCCTCCTGATTTTCCTCTTAAGTATACTCCTACTGCTGTTATCCTCTTCTCGGGATTCACTCAATCCCTGCTGTCTATACATGACATACAGTATGCTTCCTTCTTAGTCTTGACCAAAACCTTAATTTCTCTCGTCATCCAGCATTTCCTACACCTCCCAGCCTTGCCCTTCATCCTAACAAGAACATACCATCTCTGGACTCCTGTTATTTCATTTTTGAAGACCTCCCACTTTCCAGCCGTCCCTTTACCTGTAAACATCCACTCCCTATCAACTTTTGAGAGTTCTTCTGTAATACTGTCAAAATTGATCTTCCTCCAATTTAGAACTTTTAAATCTAGTCAATCCTTTTCCATCACTATTTTAAAACTAATAGAATTATGGCCCCACTGACACCTCAGTCACCTGCCCTGCCTTATTTCCCACGCGTAGGTCACATTTTTGCACCTTCTCTAGTAGGTACAATACATCCTGAATCAGAAAATGCTTCTTGTACACACTTAAATTCCTCTACATCCAAGTTCTTAACACAATGACCCAGTTTATGTTTGGAAAGTTAAAATCCTCTAACCATAACATCCCTATTATTCCTACAGATAACTGAGATCTCCTCACAATTTTGGTTCTGAATTTCCCGCTATTGAGGGGGAGGGTGAGGTCTATCGTACAATCCCAATAAGGTGATCATCCCTTTCTTATTTCTCAGTTCCACCCAAAACTTCACTGGACATACTCCCAGGAATATCCTAAGTACAGCTGTAATGTTATCCCTAATCAAAAGCACCACTCCCCCTCCTTTCTTGCCTCCCTTTCTATCCTTCCTATAGCATCTATACCCTGGTACATTACATCTATTACTACATGCACATTTCACCGAAGGCCTACAGCTTGCAGTATATGGTATATTGACAGCATATAGGGAAAAGAACATGACCCAAAATAACATACACCATCCAAAGATAATTTCTTCACAACGATAGAAGACAACAGTCACCTTGTAACAGCTTAGGATGTTTGTTGTGAACCAGATTCGTAAGGTCCCCACCATCATCCAAAATCATGTTGAGGGGTTTTCCATCAAGGAAATACAGAGTCTGTTCAATGCACCAAATGTATTCTTCATCTGTCTCTCCCTTCCATGCATACACTGCAAATAAAACAAACATTCTTAAACAAGGCACTAACAATAAACAACGCTTTTCAATGCACACTCAGTTAAAAATCAGCCTGCAGGAGACTTTCCAGGACTTTTTCCTCACCTGCTGCACTTTCTAAAAGCAATATCATAACACCACTACATTGCAATTTGTGGACGGCACAGAAGACACCATACATCACATGGGTGAAACAGGGATCAAAAACACATTACATGTAACAAGTCAGACCATCACTGAAGTACAAACTCTCAGCAAAGAATTGCTCACAATTTTGTATGTGCCATGTTATCATGTTGTAAGTTACATTTTTAACTAGCTTTGACATTTAAATGTAAATAACGAGATATCTACAGATGACATTCATCCAAAATTCTGCTAGCAAGCAGAACTGCGTCGGGCTGGCAGTTCCATAATGCTGATGATTCAATTTAAAATTGCACTAGTCACAATATAGCATTACTTCAGGAAAACAAATGAAGTCTTAATCACAAAAATATAATGGAACGGAGTGGATCAAAAAGGCTAAACTGATGGGTGCAGGATTCCAATTTAGCAAAAGCTGTTCACTAGTAAAAAGAATAAAAATCCATGACTAGCATTAAAGTGCAACAATGGGACAGTCAGAAGGAACAAATTAATTTGAACAATTACAGATTCCACAACACATCCATCAACAATACCTTATATAAACATTGGCATTTTCGCCTAGATTGTGTGTCAGTATTCATTTCTGGATTAACATTGTCTGTTGTGGCTGAAGAGGCTGATTCATGAATGGCATTCCCTTCCTCACCTGCCACAGATGAGCAGCACTAGCTAGAGGTTATCCTTCACTATCTGGTCAATTCTTTTGTTCTTTGGCTTTTCTGCACACTTCCTTGTTGTTCATCTCCAGGCACTGATTGTTGTTGTTTGAACTCACTTCACGAAAAACAGCTGAAATACCAGGATATTTTTGCAGTACAAGATTATGCTGCTTTTGAAGCAGTGAGATTGCTACAGTATCAATTCAGAGCAATACTAGATTCTTTTGAATTAAGAAGCTGCCTGATGACGACCTTTGGAATGGATGAGCTGCAGTCTGCTAAATACTGGTGGAAGCAGTGCAGCCAGAACCATTCAGAATCAGCAAGCAAACAGACTGGGAGCAGGTACTTGCAATTAAGTCCACATTTGGAAAGTTAAAGTCTTTTAAAACTAATAGTGAAAATTCAGAGCCAGCATATTCCTCAGGGCAAACAGAATTTCAGCACGCCAGGGAAGTCGGGATTGTTAATGGATATCATGAGTTGGAAAAGACAAAGAAGGAAGTGTATATTAGTTATGCCAAGGCAAAAGCAAGGGAAACGTCTAGAAGTATAGAATATAGGTTGATACTTAGAAAATAAATTTGGAGGGCAAAGAGTGGCCACAAAATATCTGTGGCAGATAGGATTTAGGAAAACCTCAAGACATTCCTAAGCATATTAACAGCAACAGGATTACCAAGGCTTTACCAGGACGTTGCCTGGTATGGAGGGAAGGTCTTATGAGGAAAGGCTGAGGGTTTTGAGGCTGTTTTCGTTAGAGAGAAGAAGGTCAAGAGGTGACTTGATAGAGACATACAAGATCATCAAAGGATTAGATAGGGTGGACAGTGGGAGCCTTTTTCCTCGGATGGTGATGGCTAGCACGAGGGGACATAGCTTTAAATTGAGGGGTGATAGATATAGGACAGATGTCAGAGGTAGGTTCTTTACTCCGAGAGTAGTAAGGGCGTGGAATGCCCTGCCTGCAAAAATAGTAGACTCGCCCACTTTAAGGGCATTTAAATGGTCATTGGATAAACATATGGATGATAATGGAATAGTTTAGGTTAGATGGGCTTCAGATTGGTTTTCACAGGTCGGCGCAACATCGAGGGCCGAAGGGCCTGTACTGCGCTGTAATGTTCTATGTTCTATGTTCTAAGGTAAGAGTGAAACCTATCAGAAACCAAAGGCATAATCTGGGCATACAGCCAGATGACATGGAGGTGTCATAAATGAATATTTCTCATCTGTATTCACAGAGGAGAAAGACATCATAGCCGGGGATTGCAGTCGGGATAGTGAGGTTCTAGAGCACATTTAGATTAATAAGGAGTTGTATTAGATGTTTTACCAGGCATAAAGGTGCAAAGGATGCCAAATTCCTGATGAGCTGTATCCCAGGCTGCTATAGGAGGCAAGGGAAGAGGTTGCTGGGGCAGAGGTATTTAATACTTCTGAAACAAAAACAAATTGGTAGCAAAACTTAGCAGGTCTGGCAACACCCATGGGAAGAAAGCAGAGTTAACGTTTGATGAAACTCATCAGATGAAAAGTCACTAGATTTAAAACTGTTTCAGATCGCCAGCATCTGCAGTTCTTTGCTTTGCTGGCCACATATGAAGTGCCTCTTAACTGGAAGATAATTAATGCGGTTCTTTTTTCTCCCCAAGGAGGGCAGCAAGGATAGGCCGAGTAAGTACAGACCAGTGAGCCTTCCTTGACCCGAAAAGTAACCGTTGATTTCTCTCCAGATGCTGCTACACCTGCTGAGCTTTTCCAGCAATTTCTGCTTTTGTTTCCGATTTACAGCATCCGCAGTTCTTTCGGTTTTTGTGTAGAAAGACAGGGATTGATCAGCATTAGTATCTAGTCTGATTAATTTAATTGAGTTTCTTGAAAAGGTGACTAAATATATTGATGAGGGTTGTGTAGTTGATGCGGTGTACATGGGCTTCACTAAGTCCTTCAACAAGGTCCCACATGGAAGGTTGGTTCAAAAGGTAAGAGGCTGTGGGTTCCAAGGCAAGTTGGCAAACTGGATCCAAAATTAGCTTGCAAATAGGAAGTGAAGGGTGATGGTGGAGGATTTTTTTGTAATTGGAAACCTGTGACCAGTGGTGTACCACAGAGATCAGTGCTAGGAGCCTTGATGATTACTATGTACATTAATGACTTGGGTGTAAACATAAAAGGTGTAATTGGTAGGTGTGCACATGACACAAAAATCAGTAGTGTTGATAGGGAGGAGGATGGTCTCAGGATACAGTCTGATAACAATACATCTTGGAAGGTCAAATAAAGATTTACGCAATAAATGGTAGCTCCCTAGGGAGTGCTGAGGGAAAAAGGGACCTTGGTAGTGTAAGTCCATAGATACCTGAAGATGCCAGCACAAGTAGACTAGGTGGTGAAGGCCTATGGGATGCTTGCCTTCATTAACCACAGCATAGAATACAGGAGCAAGGGAGTCTTGTTACAACTTTATAAAACATTGGTTAAGCTACAGATAGAATACTGTGTGCATTCCTGGTCACCACACTATCAGGTTGCATTGCAGAGGGTGCAGGGGTGATTCACCAGGAGGCTTGGGGGTGAATGGAATTAGATTGAGGTATACAAAATTATGAGAGGCATAGAGCAAATTGTGACACACTCTTCACCTTGGCAGGCATGTCTAAGGCCAGAGGGCATAAATTTAAATTGAGGAATAAGTGGTTTGGAGAGGATTGCCAGAGGCTGGTAGAAATACGGAGTTCACTGTTTAAGTGGGTGGTGGAGGCAGGTACGTTCGCAACATTTAAGAAGCACCTGGATGAGCACTTAAATTGCCAGAGCATAAATGGCCATAGACCAAGTGCAGGTAAACAGGATTAGTACAGTTTGATGTTTGCTGGACGTCATAGATTTGGTTGACCAAAGGGCCTGTTTCGATGCTGTATGATTCTCTGACTGAAGAACACCCAACGCTCGACAAAGCATCTCGTCTTTGCTAAAATCCAAAGAATCATAGAATTGCTAGTGTGGAAACAGGCTCTTCGGCCCAACAAGTCCACACCGAACTTCAGAGCATCCCACCCAGACCCATCGCCCCTATGACCCACCTAATATACACCCTCTACCTCCCTGAACACTACGGGCAATTTAGCATGGCCAATCCACCTAACCTGCACATCTTTAGACTGTGGGAGGAAACCCACGCAGACACGGGGAGAACGCGCAAACTCCACACAGACAGTCGCCCGAGGCTGGAATTGAACCTGGGTCCCTGGCACTGTGAGGCAGCAGGGCTAACCACTGTGCCACCGTGCCGCCCCAAAGAGCTGAGAACTTAACACACGCTTGCAATCTGGACTTCTAATCTTCAGAACTGTGTTTCTCGATCTACATTTTCCCCATTCATTTGTTTATAACCATCAATCTTAATCATGATAGTGCAACTTTGGAGGTTAAAGAGCTACAGTTTAAGTTGCTTAACTTAAAAATTAGCAATGCTTTATTTTCTCTGTCATTTTTTAAAGAATAAGTGCATTTGAAATGTTAACAACGAACCCTGGTGTGACTTGCCTTTGTCCTCAATAGCAGCCTGTCAAGTAAATCGATAATCTTGCGTTCTAATTGGGTGCTTATGAAAGCTTGTGGGATGTAGACATGATTATTTTTAGTTATTAGTTTAGGGGATCTGGAAGTCACTGATTAGGCCAATAATTGTCACTTAGCTTTAACTGCCCAAAGGCTGTTAAGCGCAATCACATTGCTATGGGTTTGGAGTCACATATAGGCTAAATGAGGTAAGGGTAGTAGATTTCTTTCCTGAAAGGACATCAGTAAATCAAAACAGAGTGCCAGGGAGACTCAGCAGGTCTGGCAGCACCTGCAGAGGGGAAAAAGCAGAAACTTTGGTCTGAAATGAAAATAACTGAGAAACTGGTATTTATGCTAATAACAGGGTTGAGGTGGGGGAATAAAGGACTCAAATAAAATAACAGGCTAACAAAGAGATTGCTGATGATAAGCCGAGAGAGATAAATGTAGGGTGTAATGAGAAGTGTAAATAATTGAAAATGGGTTGGTTGCACTGGGTGTAACCCATGCAAGCCGAGACCTGGAAGGTGGCAGGGAGAGAGTGGCAGAGTGGCAAACACAAGAGGAAGGTGGAGCGTGTTTGCGTTCTGACATTGTTAAACTCATTGTTGAATTTT